TTTTCTGTTTTTCTTTCTATGTATATATAATTTATATTAACTCATAGAATTTCCTGTTACTTTAGTTTTTGTTTTTGTCTGCTTAGCAAGATTGATTTTTTGTTGCTGAACGATGCAAAATGAGACTCTTCGTGTTTTGGGAAGTAACCCGTTCGAAGATATAACGGCTAAAACGCGCCTACGACAACTTTTACAAACACATCAGGGTAGGGATAAACTGTTTAAAGTTGTTCAATACTTTCTTAGGGTGAAACTATGGATGAGTTCGGTGGATTACAATCTTGATTATGTTCCTGGTGCGGAGTTTACTGCCGTTGAAAGAAATTTAATGACAATTGTGAACACTCGAAGACTATTTCGAGTGGGACGTTTTGTTGGAGAATTTGTAAGAATGAGAGTAACCTTAATTAAATGTTCAGAGTTAGTGTACATTCCTGTTAATGGTGGACAATGGATTGCCCTTTTTATCCAGTGTCAAATGATTTGTGATATGATTGCCCGAGCACTAATGTGCGTTAAATCGTTATGTGAGGATGTAGCTTTCCTTGCGCAAAAGGGTTTCTTTAACAGCCAAGTGTCTGATCAGCTTATCAGTTTAGCTGTCCGGTGTACGCTTCCTGTTTTGCTTATTGATCTATTCTTGAATACACTTCGTCTTTTGCAGGGAATGTTAGATGCGTCACGACAGCCAACAGAAACAGAATTCTTGCTTTCTAAGGACTCCTTCTCTCTGTTGTCTAGATATGATCGTGTTGATAAACTACGACGACGAATGGCCAAACCAAATATTATAAATAAAATGAAAGAAACGAAAAATGAATCCCAGATGATAGAAGAAAATGGAGAAGAAGAAGTAGTGGAAGCAAATGATGTCTTGGTGAGCTCCTACCAAGAGCTACTATGGAAGGATTTTGAGCTGCATTGGATTTTTGTAACCGAGTTAAAGTTGCTGCTTGACCTTTTTGTTGCCACGTCAAATCTAAGAAGATGGGACAGTGTCCGTGGTCTCGTCAGTATAGCAGGTTTATTTTCTGGACTTTTGTCCGTCTATCGTGTCTGGACCTACGGACGCTAACTTTATGGGCAAAGTATACCAAAAGCGACAAAAGATTTTAAGTATTTATTGGGTCTCAACTTTGTTCCACCTTGTTTTTTTTTTTTCCTTTTAAGATAATTGTAATGTATAAAAGAATATATATTTTCCCATTATTTTTCTTGGTTCTTATCTTCTCTTGTTTTTTTTTTTTTCTTTTTCATTGTTTTTTTTTTTTTTTTTTTTTTTTTTTTTTTTTTTTTTTTTTTTTCTCTCAGCTCCCTTTTTTATTAATTTTTCAAAAAAAAGAGTAATGAGTTCTAAAAGAACACCTGCGCGTAGCATCTCTACTGCTGTGTCTCCAGTACTACACAACAGGCGGGAAGAGGGTGACTGGAAAAGCACTATGAAGTGTTTCAGGGAGGAAGTTCAGCGACTAAAGGAAGAGGGCGATAGTCTACGGTCCACCAACACTGATCTGGCATTGCTCCTGCGGAAGGTTTCTGAACAAATGGAATTACTGAATGACGAAAATCACTTGTCTCTTCGTGTCATGGTAACAATGTTGGATGACGAGCGGCAAAAAGTGATAAATGCCGAGAAGGAAAAAGAAGAATTGTTGCAAAAGATCAAAGAAGCTGAAGAAAGGTGCACCCTGCAAAAAGATGAAATAATTCGACTTGCTGGGGTTGTAGAGGAGGAACAAGCTAAAAATAGTTCTATTCTGATGCTACAAGAGAAGTTACTAGCAGAGAAGGATGCCAAGTTTCAGTTGGAACTTAGTCTTCAGGAGAAACGTCTAGAGGAGATACAGCATGACCTTAGGCAACAAGTCGAACGACACGAAGCGACTCTTGTTGCCAATAATAAAATAGTGGAAGAAGAGAGACTTCAATGGGAAAAACAGCAAGTAGCATACGAAGAGAAGATATCTCGTCTTCTGCGACAGGTAAAAAAAAGGGGACGTGCGCATCGACAATCACCAGAACCAGAACTAGAACCAGAACCAGAAGAAACTGATCTTCATATCGAGGTCGATGAACCCCCTTTTTCACCCATATCCTTTTCTGAAGTTGCCGATGAAGCTCTGACACGAAACGCCTCCAAGAAGAGTCGATTAGAGGCGGCTCGACAACAACGACGAGTTTTTGAACGACGCCGAGAGAATGCTACACTTATTTCGCTTACCAAGCTGAATGACCTTAAAGAAAACCTCCACCTGTAGAGTGCTTTCTTTCTTTCCTTTTTTTTCTTTTAGATGCAATAGATTTTCCTCCGCCTTTTTTTTTTTGTTTACCTCTCCCATAAATGATGTGCCTTTACAGAGACAGATGAGTCAAATGTTTCTCCCATCTTTGATTATCAGTGATGTGGATTGTTATATTTAAGGCGCGCTTTCTTTTCAATATGTTTTGCTGTTATTTTCGTTATTATTATTATTATTATTATTTATTATTATTTTTTTTTTTGCTTTTTTCTTTCTTTGTATCCCCTCCCTCTCTCTCTCCCTGTATCTATATATTTGAAGTATCGAAGAAAAGAATAAAGAATGTTTAGTTTTTCTGTAGTTACTGCTATTGTGTTGATCATCGCAGTTTTTATACAATGGCAGAGAAAAACAGCGGGGATGCATCCACGGGTTCTTGGAGATGTTTTACTTGTCTTCGCCCACCCAGATGACGAAGCCATGTTCTTTTCCCCAATGCTTGAATATTTGAGGAGCAATGGTGTGAAGGTGCATTTTCTTTGCCTTTCAAATGGAAATTTTGAAGGGCTTGGTGCCGTTCGCGAAAAAGAACTTCAGCTCAGTGCGGAATGCTTTGGAGTTCACCGAAACAATGTCAGAATTGTCAATCATCCGCTCTTACAAGATGGAATGAATACGTTTTGGGATGTTGATCTCATTCGTCACGAGGTTTCCTCCTATCTCAAAAAAGCAAAAAACGTTCGTACAGTCGTTACTTTTGATAAAAAGGGAGTATCATCACATCCAAACCACATAGCAGTGTATAATGGTGTTGCCTCAGTAAAGGAGAATATGCCTCCTGGAATTGTGTTTCTAAGTTTACATACTAGAAATTTATTGGGGAAATATAGTGGAATGCTGGCTGCTGTTAGGTATGTATTTTTTTCTCCTCTGGAAGAAGATCAGCGCCGTTTTGTTATCCTTATTCCTCCTGCATCCTTACTTGCGAGTCTTCGTGCAATGAGAATGCACAGTACACAACTAGTTTGGTTTCGTTATCTCTTTATTCTGTTTTCTTCCTACACTTATATCAACGAGATGGAAGAGCTGAAAGGAACTTAAATTATTGTTTTTGTAATTATTGTATTACTATTATCATTGTCATTATTAAGAGCAAACGTGTAAGCAGCATCAGCAGCACCGTTTTGTACTGATGAGACAAATATTCTGATAAATTATGGGATTAAGAAAGCAAAAAAAGAAAAAAAAACTGCTTGTTGCTGTGAAATAATTATTACTGTTATTTGGTTTTTTTTTTTTTTTTTACGTGGAAGGTGTACAGGAGAGTGGGAATGAACAAAATGGGATTCAAACCGCCATCTAACTGGATCAAGTTGTATGCGAAGGTGAAGGAAATTCGAAAGGAACTCATAGCTCCAGTGGACACCGTCGGGTGTTCAAAACTCTTCGATAACTCTGCATCAATAGAAATAAAAAGGTATCATATTCTGCTGGCTTTGATGCTGAGTGCTCAGACAAAGGACCATGTTACTGCAGCAGCAATGCATTCGCTTATTCAACACGGCTGTACACCCAAGACAATATCAGAAATGTCTGAAGAGAAACTTGATGGATTCATTTCCAAAGTTGGGTTTCATAATACGAAGGCAAAACATATTAAACAGGCAACTGAACATATATTAAAACTACATCAGGGTCAAGTGCCTCGGTCGTACGATGACCTTATTGCTTTACCAGGTATTGGCCCCAAGATGGCATATCTTTTCCTTCAAGAAGCTGATGGTGTGATACTTGGCATAGGTGTGGATACTCATGTGCATCGCATAGCGCAGCGATTTCAGTGGGTGCCACCGACGGTGAAAACTCCAGAGGACACGCGTAAAAATCTTGAATCTTGGCTTCCTCAAGAGCATTGGGGTGAGATAAATGGATTATTGGTGGGGTTGGGTCAAACTATATGTTCTCCCCGTTTTCCCCGTTGCTCAGAGTGTCCAGCGAACACATTGTGCCCAAGCGCCTTTAAGGAAACCAAGCAGAGTGAAAAACGAGAGAGGATTATTGATATTGAGGACATTGATAGGATGCAAAAAAAAAGTAAGCGCCGTACACATCGTTGATGTCTTTTTCTTTTGCTAACACAATATTATTATTATTATTATTATTATTATTATTATTA